AGGGTAGAATTTTTTTTAAAGGATATTATATTTTATAGATATTATACACTGCATTTAAAATTAAATTTAAGAATTTGTAGGGAAATGGACGAAATTTTTTTCACCGCTGCGAGGATTTTTTGAACCTTCGTCCTCCGGGATATGCTCCTGACGCTCTAACCACTGAGCTAAATGGTTTATGTTCACACCGACGCAAATCTCAATGTATTTAATCTAATTAAATATTTAAGTGGAGCTCCCATACAACAGAAATTATGTTTTTGCCGTTTTTATAAAGGTATATAAAGGTGCGGAACCTGAGATCTAGGAAACAGTCTTTCAAAAGATTTGCTGGGAGGGTTATAGGATGAGACTGGGGATTAATATAACGTACGGTTAAATGAATCTTGTAGTTTAATTTAACTCTTATTTGCCAAATCACGAGCCTTTAATTATTGCTTACACAACAAAGGCCTCTTTTTGATGTATGACCTAATTTCATAGAAACGGCGTCATAATACTTGAATGGTCTATTGATCGAGTTAATAGGCGAGTATGTCATAAATCTGATAATAGGGGAAAAATAGATGAAAAATGACGACCACATAACTAGAGGAGTAATTCAAAGCATCAATAGGGGGCTGACTTCCCACACTATGACTCTGGTGGGGAGGATATATGAGCATTTTTTTTGCTTTTATTAATTATAAAACTATACGTTTAATTGAAAATTGGACTTTGACTTTGACTATGTTTACTTTTTAAAACTTTTTCCTTCTTTCCCTCAAAAGTTAAGACCAATATATTTATTTATATTTATCAGTAAAAGTATGTTGTAGTGAGATATTTTAGTAGGTGCAAGTAACGAAAATTCATAAATAATAACGTGACTATTCGCGAATTTAGTACTATTACTAATTTAGTACTCAAATCTCACGGGAGATCAATAGTTTAAGGATGAAAATAAAAAAAAGAATATTCTAATTGACACTGGAATGACCTGACGTCAATCATTAAATCATTACAGAACTTCTTTATATTAACTCCAATAAATTCAATTTACTAGGAAAAGATTGAGATACGTTTCATTGGGTACTTTAGAAATCTATTATCAAAAGGAATGTATTGGGAATAAGACAATGGAATTATTTTTTATTTTTATCGACTTTATCATAATTTGTTTGATTATCATTGCTAGTTATTGTGTTTTTGCATAGTAGAACAAATAGGGGTATTAAGCCTTAAAATGTGTTTAACTGTCATCCGTTCCATTTTTTCATTGTTCGATATTCGGCATTATTTCCATAGCGCTAAAAATTTTCTATGACACAATTTTTAAAATACCGATTTTCGTTGGACCTATTAGTGAAAGATATCACGAATCTAATATAAAATGTAAAAAAATGAGGAGTCTTTTAAGGAATCATTAACCAAAAAGTGTTTAACGATATTAAAAGAAAAAAAATATATTACATATTTCTGACTGTGTTCTGTAAGAATGATTAAGAGGTGCCAGTGCGTATCATTGTGTGTGTGATTGCAATTGCAGGTTCGTCTTTGTGCGTGTTTATTTATAATGCATGTGCTGCAGTAAGAAGGTGATTCTGCACCATAAGTTAGTAACGCTTACGAGTAGCATCAAACACTTTTACCTTAAACTCTAGCATAAAAAGCTTTATTTGTGTGTTCTTTAGTGAAAGCAGTAAAAAATATATATAAATAGTGCAGGTAAAAAAAAACTTTATATAAAACAAAATGTCTAACTGTTATAATTCTTCAACTATTTTTTAATAGGTACCTCAGTTACGAGTAAAACCACTGCTTAGTAGCGGAATAACCTATGAATTGATATAAAATAATGTCCTTAATTATACAGCTTGGATAGCATTGCTTCGATATTGTTCAAAATCTCTCAGAAATTAACTGAAATGAATAATAATTGAAATAAGTGGTCTAGACAATTGATCATGTAATAATAGAAGACTGCCATTAAATGGGGTCGTTAATAATTATTATTTAATAACTGCTACTATTGTAATTAAAACCGTACTTATTCATGCACGTAAGAACACGTAAGACCTTGGAGGTGTTAATTTAACCATGTAAACTCACCAACTGTATATGACATTTTTAGGGTTCCGTACTCAAAGAATAAAACGGAACCCTATTACTAAGACTCTGCTATCTGTTTATCTGTCTATCACATGAACCGTGATAGTTAGACAGTTGTTTCACAGATGATGTATTTTTGTTGCCGCATTAACAACAAATACTCCCTCCATACAACAAACATGATTATTTTTTGCCGCTTTTATAGATAAAGGTAGGGAACCCCTCGTGTGCGAGTCCCTTGGCCGGTTTTTTATTATTATTTAAAAAAATAAACATGAAATTAACGCGACTAAGTTAGTCGGTGACATGAAGTTATTCGATAAATTTTAACAAATTATTAATTTTAAGCTCGGCAGCTTTGCTCGGTTAATTAAAGCGTAACCCGGAACACGCAGGTATTAATCGCGCGGCGTTGAAAATCTTTCGGAAATTTATGCACAAAAAATGACATTGTTTGAATTTTGTGATTGTTTGAATGTTTGAAATTTGTCAAATTGTTTGAATTAGTAATTTACAGGAGAGAACTTACTTATTAAAAGTGCCCACTTTATTTAAAGGTGGCAACGCATTTGCAACCCTACGGTATTGCAAATGTCCATGGGCAGCGGTTATCACTTAACATGAGGTGAACGGCCACCTTGCTGCCTCGCAGCTTCTTCTCCTTCGCTTGCAACTCACTTGCCACCTTCTCTCAAAAAGGGAAATGGCAGTCCTGGAAAGTAGAACTAGTGGTGTTTGATTTGTTTTTTATGTGAAAAGTTTCCAAGCGAGCAGACGGTTTAACTGATGTTAAGTGAATACCGCCGCCCATGGACATCTGCTACACCCGAGGGTTCCAGATGCGTTGACAACCTTTTGAAAAATGAGCTTTGATTGTGTGGGTGATTTACATATTTATACGCCTATTGCAAGCGGTCTAACTTATCGCTCTTGATAAGCTCAGTAAGATTTGGATATAAAGTAATACTCCATTGTTAAAGTTTCATAACAAGGTTTGAAAACAAGGGTCAGTTTCGGAAAAGAAAACACACTAGATAAGGCCAAAAATTGCTTAAAATGTAACTAAATACGAAGAAGATAAGATACCCTGAGATTTTCGTCGGTGTGAAGATAAACCGTTTAGCTCAGTGGCTAGAGTTTTGGGCGCGATCCTGGAAGACGTAGATTCAAATCCTCGTAGCTGCGATAAACTATACACCTATTTTTCTGTAAATTTTGAGTTAGCTTTGAATTTGTTCAATTCACGAATTTCCAACCATTTAAAAGCCTGTCCTAAGCCTATATTGTCGTCAAAACACTTTTTTTTTAAACCGTACAGGTTTTGAAATTCAGTATCCGGGGAGGTCATGAAAATTTTTTCACTAAATTTTAAATCTGTAGATACCATAATAACATGAAAGCATATATTGCGATATTATTGTGACTATAATATGTCTGAATGTTAGTAATTTATACAATAAAAAAAAAAAAAAAAAAAACTACTAGTACTTCTTAGATACAAACAATAGATATTATGCTTCAAATATTTATTCAATAGTTATTTGGAGAGCACTTAATTGAATTCAAATGGTTATTTCACCATTTCAAATTAAATAATGCCCTCGTGTTATTTCGATGTTCGACAGATACGGACTATTAACATGTTTATTATATACATAACAATAAATTTTTATTGTTAAAATATTTCATAAGGCCTAGTAAGTAAAATGAAGTAACTATGTATTTATTATAAACTTATTTAATTAAAGTTTTCCCTGGAGTCTTGTGGAGTTTCATTAAAATATGGTTACGACTTTTTTAAAATTTTTGTACGTAGCCTTTCAACTCTTGTTTTTTTTTTTGTGTGTACCTACAAATAGGTCTTGAAATTATTTTCCTTTATATATTGTTACGAGCTGGGTGTTCGGGGTCGCGGTGAAACGCCTGATCGTTTAAATTTTCATAACATTATTAACGCCAACAAAGAAGTGCACAGCGGCCGTCTTAATACCGCTCTAGTCTTTACTACTGCTACCGGTGCGAGGACTCTCCCGTTCCGCACCAACCTTACACATGACACGACTGCCGGTGCGCTCCCTCATTTTTTAACCGACTTCAAAAAAGGAGAAGGTTTCTCAATTCGACCGTATATATTTTTATTTTTGTTTGTGTGTGTTCGAGGATAACTTCCTCGTATATGAACCGATTTTGATTATTCTTTTTTTATCGGAAAGGAGATATCCCAAGGGTGGTACCATGATAAGGAAACCCGGATCTGATGATGGAATCACAGCGAAATTCAGGGTCATCATTGAATGTTATAGTATTAACAATGTTTTTAATTTTCTGATTGAAGTCGGTTTTTTTTTGTTAAAAATTATACCTGTTTTTATTTTTGCGTCCACTGGTGCAACGATCCACACGTTACGGCACCAATCCACTATTTCAAAATTTCTATTTACCGAACGGTTGGTGGTGGCGCGAGACGCGGCCGCATAATGAGATCGAGACATTGCCGAGAAGAGCGAACTGTGAACGCTGTTTTACTCATGGCCTATTGTATGTTGCTTTATCTAGATCCGGGCACAGCGAAAACAGCCGACGAAAATAGCTTTTAGAGATTTCTTTAAGTAATACGCGAGTTAATCTACGGGCCATAGCTGAGCCTGATTAGCTAGTCATCATATATAATAAGGAACGTATGGAATATACGAAAAAAATAAAATAAAAGAAAAGTCCGGCCCTGGAAAATAATATTCAATGATGGTTATAATTCAAACCAGTTCGGTTATTTTCGACATTAGTTTTTGGAACAGAGCAAAGGAGCGACGGAAACATCAATGGCGTATAAAAGCTTAACTTCAGAGTTCTTTCGTAGACTAAACAAACTTTTATTTTTATGCGGCATTTCCGATTTATGGGTGGAGGGAATGGATTACTCGAGAACATCCACGATTTTCATACGATCCTTCTCGAAAGTTGTCACCGGCTGCCTTTATCTGTTCGTGGCAATGGAGCTAGTTGCGTTTTTCACGCAATCAAACTTGACGGAGAAGCAGGAAAATGACAGATTGGTATTCGGCTGCTCGCATCCTCTATTGGTATTTTACTACGAAAGCATAGACTACTATAATAGTACGATAAAGCTGATTTTGTATACATTGTCGGTGGTCCTAAAAGAGGTTTACAACGATGAGGAGATAGAGAAACGAATGATAAGGAAGTCTAAGCTGTATTCGGCCGCTTACATATTTAGTTTTAGTAGTTCTCTGATATCTTACGGTTTCGATGGACTAATGCAAGTTGTGAACGGAGGTAAGATTTATTAACGATTAACTTAGTATTAGTACTTAGCGAGATCGAATCAGGAATGAGGAGATCCGCAGAAGAACGAAGGTCACCGACATAGACAAGCGGGTCTGCAAGCTGAAGTGGCAATGGGCAGGGCACATAGCTTGCAGAACTGACGGCCGATGGGGCAGCAAAGTTCTCGAGTGGAATGAGTTGGAAAACGCAGTGTGGGGCGGCCACCCGCGAGATGGACTGACGACCTGTCCATAGTCGCGGGACTTCGTTGGATGCAGGCCGCTTCAAACAGATCGAAGTGGAAATCCCTAGAGGAGGCCTATGTTCAGCAGTGGACGCCTACAGGCCGAAATGATGATGATGATGATGAACTTAGTATTATGAGTACGTAGTTGAAATGAGTTGTGGAAAAGTTAACGAAGTCTAAGTTACAGTTTATATATAATTATAAAATTCGATTAGTTTAGTTAATGTGTAGCCCAATTTTCAAAAGGTTGTCAACACATATGTAACCCTCGGGTGTAGCAGATGTCCATGGGCGGCGGTATTCACTTACCATCAGGTGAACTGTCTGCTCGTTTGGCAACTTTTCACATAAAAAAAATGCACAGACTCAAATTATTGCTAATGTAAAATGAATTACTATAAGTATTTTATTATACTTAAATTGCAGGTAATACTCCCGATGTCTAAAAACTTTTGTGGACGATAACCCTTAGTGGCTTTATTTTATAGTGTGGTAAGCGGGCGTGGCAAATAACAACTACGTAAATAAGTCCACACTATGTATTTAAAGTTCAAACAGAGCACAAGCGAAGTACAGACGTGAGCACAAGAGAAATAGAAAGTTAGAATAGAGGCAAGAAACAAAGGAAAGGCGATAAAAAACATAAAAACAATAAGCTGTGTATAAGCACTCGCGTAACTATATCGTAAGGAAGCTGAGACATGCATTCGCCGTCGCGGACGTGATGGCACTGTTGGCCGCCGGCCGGCGCCGGCGCTTGCCTTCTCGCTGCTTCGAGTATGTCCTCTCTTTCCTACGCCGCGCCCTTTGTTGACCGCGCGCGCGGCGTAGGAAATTTCCATATATGGTCTCCTCACACTCCCCCACCGAGACCGTTGCTTGCTACGGTCGATAGTAATCAGGGAATCGTACTGATCGACCACTGCTTGTTTTTTTAGTAGTAGCAGGTTCTGGGCTCTCCGGTGTGGGTTCGTTGGGTGGAGGATGCTGGCTGGGACTTCTGCAATCGGCATCTTTTGTAATATACGCTGGTTTGAGCCTGTCTATTGAGATGGTATTCTCTTTACCTCTGATGTCGATCTTAAAGGTTTTGTTGCCTCTTTGTATGACTTTGTAAGGGCCTGTGTATGGAGAATCTAATGCTCGCTTTGCTGGTCCTTGTCGAAGAAACACGTAGTCAGCGTAGTTGAGGTCTTTGGGGATGTAGAAAGGCTTTTGAGCGTGTCGAGTACCTGGTACAGGAGTCAACTTCGATATGTGGTCCCGTAGTCTGGCTGCGAAGTCTGCGTAGTCGACGGTAGTGTCCTTCGTAGGCTCAAAGAACTCACCAGGCAGGCGTAGTGGCTCCCCATAAACCAGTTCTGCCGCTGAACATTGCACGTCGTCCTTCCAGGCGCTGCGGATGCCCAGCAGCACTAAGGGTAGGACTTCAGTCCAGTGAGTGTTGGTATGGCACATAATTGCTGCCTTCAATTGCCGGTGAAGCCGCTCGACCATCCCATTACATGCTGGGTGGTACGACGTAGTCGGACGGTGCTCGGAGCCGATGATTGCTGACACGGCGCGGAACAGCTCGGACGTGAACTGTGCGCCCCTGTCAGTGGTGATCTTGTTCGGGCAGCCAAAGCGGGCTACCCAACCCCCAACAAATGCTCGTGCGCAGGACTCTGCAGTGATGTCCGGCAGTGGATATGCCTCAGGCCAACGTGTGAAACGATCGATGACCGTGAGGCAGTACCTGTAACCAAAAGAATATGGTAATGGCCCTACTATGTCCATATGGACATGGGAAAATCTTGAGGAAGGAGTGGGAAATGGAGATATGGGTGATGTGGTATGGCGTGAAATTTTGTTTCTTTGGCAATCTGCGCATTCTTTTGCCCACTGACGGCAATCTCTTTTGATTCCTGGCCAAACGAATCTTTGCGTCACCATTTTAGTTGTCGCCTTGGCACCGGGATGGCTCAGTCCGTGGATTGCGTTGAAAACTAGTTTTCGAAAAGCATCAGTCACATATGGCCTTGCGTTTGCTGTTGATATGTCGCAATATATAAAAGAGTTGACATCAGGTAGTTGGATCCTCTTTAAATTGAGTCCAGATCCGTGCTGCATCAGGTCATTCATTTCAAGATCCATTTTCTGAGATTGTGCCAAAGCTTCGTAATCTATGGGCTTGCGAATCTCCTCCACTCTGGATAGCGCGTCCGCTACGACATTGTCTTTTCCCGCTATGTACTGTATGTCGGTGCTAAATTGTGATATAAAATCCAAGTAACGAAACTGTCTCGGGGAACATTTTTCTCTTGCGGAGTGGAATGCGTACGTTAGAGGTTTGTGGTCTGTATATATGATAAATGCCCTGGCTTCGACCATGTGGCGGAAATGCCGTATAGCCTCGTATATGGCTAATAGCTCTCTGTCATAAGGGCTGTATTTCTTTTGCGCTGGCTTAAGCCGCCGGGAGAAGAATGCCAGGGGTTCCCAGGATCCACGATTTACACGCTGCTGTAGTACTGCACCAATTGAAACGTCTGATGCGTCGGTGTGGATGGCAAGTTCAGCATCAGGATTCGGATGTGCTAGATTGGCTGCGTGGGACAAACCTTCCTTGCATGCTTCAAATGCTTCCGACATCTCCTTCGTCATGTCAATCTCCTGTGAGGCCTTCTTCTTAGGTCCGCTAAGTACTAGGTTCAGCGGTGATTGTAGAGCTGATGCACCTGGTACGAATCTGCGGTAAAAGTTGAACATCCCCAGAAACCTTCGGAGCTCCTTCACTGTCTTGGGGATGGGATATTCCAAAATGGCCTGCACCTTTGACGGTAATGGTCGAATGCCTTCAGATGATACTTCATGCCCAAGGAAAGTGATGGTCGATACTCCGAATTCACATTTAGCGGCGTTGATTAGTATTCCGTAGTCTGTTAATCGTTGGAATAACTCACAGACATGTTGCTGGTGTTCTTCTTCAGTTGCGGAAAAGATCAGGATGTCGTCCAGGTAGCCGTAACAGTTGTCCATGCCTCTGAGTGCTTCGTCTATAAAGCGCTGGAACGTCTGTGCCGCGTTCCGGAGTCCATACATCATGTATGGGAACTGAAACAGTCCGAACGGTGTTATAATAGCTGTCTTGGGTATATCAGCTGAGTGGACCGGAATCTGGTTATATGCTTTGACCAGATCCACTTTGGAGAAAACTTTACTCCCAGATAATTGTTGAGCAAAGTCCTGTATATGCCGAATAGGGTATTTATCTGGGATAGTACGGGCGTTTAAAGCGCGGTAATCACCGCATGGTCGCCAGCCGTCATCCTTTTTAGGAACTAAATGAAGCGGAGACGACCATGAGCTCTCGGACCTGGATGCTGTGCCGTTCCGCAGCATAGCCTCAAACTCCTTCTGTGCGATCTTGAGACGATCTGGTGGCAGGCGTCGAGGTCTACTAGATACGGGCGGTCCAGGCGTGGTGCGGATATGGTGCATAGTATTATGCTTGACTTCCGTAGGTGTGCCTGAAGGGCGAGTGATATGTGGGTAGTTGCGTAATATTTCTAAATACCTGGAGTCCCCAATTGTCACCTTCACCGAAGATATAGCCTCTATACCAGGTTGGGCTGGCACATTAACGGTGAGCGAGGTGTGGTTGTCAATCAGGCGCTGGTTTCTGCAATCAACTAGTATATTATAGTGTGATAGAAAGTCAACGCCTATGATCGCTCTTGCCACGTCAGCAACCACGAAGTTCCAGGTGAACGCTCGGCGTAAACCCAGATTAAGCTCCAAGCGAACCGAGCCGTAAGTGTTTATAATTGTCCCATTTGCTGCAAACAATTCATAATTAGTCTTCGTACGGTGCCCTCTAAGCGCTGTGCGCGGATACACGCACAAATCTGATCCTGTGTCAACTAGGAAAAGTACCTTAGAAGTGTTGTCCACTACGAAGAGGCGGCCCGGTTTTGATTGGCAGTCGTAGGCCGCTAGTTCCGGCTGCCGTTGAAGTTTTCCGCCTTAGGGTGGCTGCAAGGCCTGGTGCAGCGGCTTGCTTTGTCACCAAATCTGTTGTGATACCAGCATATTGTTGTATCCCTCGGCTTGGATGACGATCGATCTCGACGACGGAAGGGTGTTTGTTCTGCTTCTTCTACGACTACCACCGTCTCTGCTGTGTGATCTTGATGGCTGCGCGTGGTACTGGACTTTTAGTGAAGCTATTTCTCGTGTTAATTCTGCCATTTGCTTTGCCATCTCCGTAATGTAGCTTCTACAACCTAACGCACAAACCTGAGGTGCCTGTGGTACTATGTCATGTACCTTGTCCGCTAGGTCGGCCAACTCATTCAACGTGGCACTAGGTTGCGACGCGATAACGGTCTGTAAACTGGTAGGTAACCGGCTGGTCCACACTGTTTTTCAAAAATTCTTCCGTCACAGTTTTACCGGCTAGCGTCCTCAAATGTCGCAAAAATTGTGATGGTTTCCTCTCACCTAGTTCCTCGTGTTTCAGCAGTTGCAACAGCTTTTTTTCTTGCGAAGCTGACAATCTCACTATAAGCTCGTTTTTCAGTTCTAAATATTTATTTTCCGCTGGAGGATTATTAATAATTTCTTTTACTATCACAGCATATTGATGTTCCAATTGCCCAATTACATAATTAAACTTTGTTGAGTCACTCGTGATTCCAGACAAGGAAAATTGTGCCTCCATTTGCGAGAACCATAAGGCGGGTTCCTCTGGCCAAAATGGCGGCGCGCGTACAGAAACTTTAAACACTGAACCGTTATCGATGTTGTCGGTTTCGATGCCTGTAGGTCTGCCGCTTATTACTTTACCGGATCTATTTGCTTCCATTGTGTTTTGCGTTGTTCACTCGTAAATAACAGTCGATATTGTCCAACGTCGGGGTCACCAGTATAGTGTGGTAAGCGGGCGGGCGTGGCAAATAACAACTACGGAAATAAGTCCACACTATGTATTTAAAGTTCAAACAGAGCACAAGCGAAGTACAGACGTGAGCACAAGAGAAATAGAAAGTTAATAGAGGCAAGAAACAAAGGAAAGGCGATAAAAACATAAAAACAATAAGCTGTGTATAAGCACTCGCGTAACTATATCGTAAGGAAGCTGAGACATGCATTCGCCGTCGCGGACGTGATGGCACTGTTGGCCGCCGGCCGGCGCCGGCGCTTGCCTTCTCGCTGCTTCGAGTATGTCCTCTCTTTCCTACGCCGCGCCCTTTGTTGACCGCGCGCGCGGCGTAGGAAATTTCCATATATGGTCTCCTCAATTTATATTAGTAAATGTATATAGAAATGGATTAAAATCTTTCTTTTCGTAATATAAGGATATTTTTTTTAATATTTCTATCAGAAATGTACATTCTCCTAATTAATATAACTTTCATCCTATTAAATTAATGCAGCATTAGTAGGTAGTTGAAGATAGTTATTGTTTTTATAATGAGACATGCTCCCAATTGGTGTGTACTATTACGATTAGTTTCGTATTAAGTAGTTTTTATGCATAGATACAAATAAGACTTAAAAAACAAGCGTAACCATGATCCTATTTATACTCGTTTATTTATGGATACAGGCTTAGGTACGGATATACATAACAACATGCAGGTTAACTTAACAATACAAGTAGCTAATTTTTTAAAGCTTTTCAAAAATTGTCTGGGCAAATAAGACTTTTTGAAACTTTCAGATGGCACCTTTACCACAGTAATAACCGCTTGGCCCAAGGTAGAGGATAGGAGCGCTTGCGCTAATGTTTCACGTGTTCTAAGCTACTTGATTTGGTGGCTGTTCATGATTCGCGTATCGGCGGTATACGTTCTTATCATATCTTTAACGATTTGTCTGAGCCACCAGTACATGAGCCTGCAGAGCTACTTTTACAGTCTGCAAAGAATTTTTGAGGGAACTGAATCAACTCAGGCTGAGAAAGAGAAAGCGTACGAGGAATCTGTGAAGATTGGAATTCAACTGCACGCCGACACCCTTTGGTGAGTTTCAAAGGAAATTGGGAAATTTTTGTGTTGGCGCTGGCAACACTGTATACCGGATATGACGTTATCTACTTGAGCCAAGGGACATATGGTCGCATTGAGCAGCGGTCACTCGGATTTCGGCTGCGTTCCCGGACGGTTATATAAACACTAGTGCTGCTTGTCGTTATAATAGTCGTTAATATTCAAGTTCAGTAATAGTTAAAATATTGGGATCAAGGTAAAATTGTAAACTTTTCTGAATTGATTTACTCTTCGCTGAAGATAGAACTGGGATCTGGGACCAGTATTAAAGACAATTTTTAACACAGATTGTTTAGTTTTACATCATAGTACTAAGGTTTATATTAGACTCGGCACATGTGTGAACTGGCACCTTCATGCGCAAACATCATTGCCGACCATAACCACTTTGTAGGGACGCCATAGCTGACGATGATTTTGGGATACTAAGTTGAAATATGGTTAACGTATTGACATCTGTCTGGCGAAAATTTATAGGTTGAAGTATAATTTGACATCAAGTGAGCTACTTACTAACCACCTCTAACGTGGAGATGTTTCGAAAGTATTACTCCATCATGAAGACATAATCGATTAAGTTAAATAATTCAAACATATAGTTAAATTAAATGATATATTCCTTCCTTATAATCAGGTGCACGAGACAATGTCAGACGGTGTGCGCTGCAGTGTTTAGCGGTCAGATATTGATAATTATTTCCGTATTCTGTCTACTTATGCTACAGATGGTGGTAAGCACTTTTTACTATTACTATTGTGTTCGTCTATTTACTTCCAAACCTTTACAATTGATAAATAGTGCACAATGATTTAACATGACTCAAGTGGTCGTGATTTTGATGTTAGCAAAGAATAGGTGTTTGCAAGTGTTTTAATTGTTGCGTTTCAAGTTTTTGTTTTAATGATGATCTTAGTAAAATATATATGTTTATAACACGTAATATTAAAAACTTTTAAAAATACGTTTAAAATACATCATATCAAAAACTGTTAAAGGCAGTTCTTCTATCTTGCTGATTATACAATAACAAATTCGCAGAATTCTGAACGCACCTTGATGAATGCTCTCGCGATTGTGTCAACTAGCATCGCTTTGTTGATCAGCACTGGCTTCTTTATGTGGAGTGCTGGTGACGTCACCGTAGAAGTAAGCAAAATAGTTTTTAAGCCTAAATGCTAAAGAAGCAGACTTCTTAGTGCTATAGAGCCACATTTGTTTTTCCATTATTAGTAATTCTGCCTTGTATTAAAAATGACGTAGTAATTTACTTTTGCGTATTGTCTGGTGGGTAAAATTTTTTTATGGGAAAATGCGGCATACGAGCAGGAGGCTCACCTGATGGTAAGTGACTACCGCCGCCTATGGACACCTCCAACACCAGAGGGCTTACAAATGCGTTGCCGGCCTTTTAGGAAAGAGTATGCTCTCTGCCTTGAAGGTTCCCAGGTCTTAACGCTTCGGAAAGGCCGCCGGTGTTTGCTGGTTCCACAGAGCGGTTGTGCGAGGCAGCAAATGCCTTGAAAATCGCGCTGTTGTGGAACGCTGGACGGACGGACGCTAGTGTGGATGAAATTTTTGGTTCGTGCGCGATGTCTGATGGTGAAATTCAGCCGCCGGGTTAGATGCAATAGAAGATGCAGAGTGATCCAACAATGTCTACGCAGAGCCAAGGGATCAAGCCGATCGGAAAGACTTTGATCGTCGATAACCCAAGCTGCCCTACGTTGGATGCGGTCAAATGGAAGAAGCTGGTAATATGGGGCTCCCGCCCAGAGCTGGAGTACTGCTCCATGTGGGGCCGAATTTGCGCCTTGTAAAGGTTTAGGCGTTGAGCCGACGTGAAGTACTGTCTCGTAATTGTAAGCATACTCAAAGTTGGTAACCTATCTACAACCTCTCAACTTTTAACAAGCACGATGTTATAGCGGTGGCTCGAAAATTTGAATTTATAAGCCGTTACATTCTACAACTGTCTCGTAGGCAGGACACCTCACTACTGCGATGTACAGCTCTGGTTGGGAGAAATGCCATGGAGTTAGTTCCACTCGAGTCAGGCGCTTGCTGGTGGTTGCAATGGCACAGAGCCAGGTATTTAACTTAAATTATATTTTAAAACTTAATTAGAGTATGAATAGACAATATGGTATCTACAATATCATAAAATAATACGACAGAAGTCTAAAATTCTCTAAGAATTCTCTCTGAATTAAGTATTTTTCTTTGAACACAAGAAAAATCACGCCAATTATACCATCACCTTGATCCTAAGTCTGCTGGCCAATACGAAAAAATCTTTCATAAGGAAATTACAGCATTTCATGGATTTCGGCTGCTGCTAATTTCATAAATTATCTTTTGTATGCGATAAGAAAATTCAATATAATATACTACTTTAAGAAACGAACGGGCAACCAACAAAAAAAGTCTATCACTTCTATGGAGCTCAGATTGGAACTTCAAGCTCTTCATTAACAACGTAACTGCCTATACATGTCCCACTGCTGGGCAAAGGCCTCCTCTGTACAGAGGGTATCAGGACATAGCCCACCACGCGGCCTCACTGCAGATAGACTGAGTTCACATATCTTCGAAATACTTTTTTTGTGATTATTCGAAAATATGCAGGTTCTTTAACTATGTTTTTCTTCACCTTTGAGCACGTGACAAATCTAACTAGTAACATTCATTTTCATTGCCGGCACCGGGGATCGAACTCAGGTTGCTTGAGTATATTGAATCGAAGGCGAGCACCCAGACACTGAGCTATCATGGCTTTAACAACGTTGTTACCCCTTTAAATTATAAGCTTCCATATCTCCAGATCAGTGGACTTAAACGTTGTCAAAATAGTTTTCGCCAAGAGCTGTGGTGGCTCTTTACAGGTGGTGAATGAGAAATTAGAGCTTCATTTAGGAGTTTATTCTCGTCTAAAACGTAACAGAGCCTCCACAGTAAGGTGTGATTTCTTCGATATATGCAAAGCGTTATCGTCAACTTAGTAACACTTGTCAAGGTCGGCTGTATGGATATCCTCGTTTCACCGAAGAAATAAACTGTCAATCAGTTCAAGAAACACACTTACAAGCGAAACATAGCTAGGCAACTTGATGTTGACGGAGCAAATTAGGCGTATGCAGAAATACAGACTGAATTCTTACTAATTCTAGTTTATTCTTGAGGTTCACTATTTGCGATTACCCAACGCTTGTATCACCAGAACAGGATGATCCATGGAACCGATCTCTTTATTGAAAAATACAAATATAGTATCCGATTTTGAATCACGAAGAAACGGTTGTAACCTAGGAGGGTTATAACCATTGCTAAAAGCGCAATAATTATGCTTTTAATTACATCATTTAAAAAATTTCGAGTCCACTTAATAACAATAACACTTGAATAATATAAAGGAAATTATATAATTCCATAGATATCGTACAAAGTTATTGAAAGTTGATATAAACTTTCAAGAATTCGCGCGACAACATGTAGTAAAAACTAGCCAGCCTGTGTCATAAATTCGAATATAGAATATACATACATAATTTTTTGAACACCACGTCAATTTCGTACGGCCAGTAGTACGTTCAAATAGTTAAAATCTTTTTGAATTGTAAAATAAATTCGCCCGTTTTTTTAAACGAGGGTTTATGGATAAAAGCTTACTTTGGTAGTCATGACCGCTGTATATTTGAACTTGTTGTACAGTGACAGATTTATGTTTTATTTTAAATACATTGAATTAATAGTGAAGTCTGAGATATAACGGTTATATTATTTTTTGTTTAATATTATATATATTCATCTTTGCAGAAACCAGTCGTCCTTCGCAGTTTTCGTATTATGGAGCTTTCATACAAATCTTATTTATCGGCAAGTTGTTTTACTTCATGTAATAATTATTTTCTTAGATTTTATTTAGAGAGTAAATATTAAATATTACTTTTACCATTTGCTTTCAGATTGTGAAATCGTCATATTCGGTGTTTTCGATATTATATTGAATGTAAATATTAATGTGGTCTTTAAAACTAAGAGTATATTTTAAGGTACTCTATCACAAAAATAAAGGTGCAAATAAAATTAAATAGAGGGATGAACAATCGCGTAAATGCTTTTTATTTTATTCAAAATCTTTTTTTTTCCAGAACTTTTTCAGGTACTTACGTTTCATGAGTTAAATTTTAGAAAATTATATAGATACATAGTCAAAAAGGAAAAAATGTAAGTTTGTATAAATTCATAATGACACAAATATCCGAAACTACATAACTGAATTTGGGGAGTACATCGCGAGTTTTTCTTTTGAATTCTATGTTTTGAGACTGTTGTTATTTTTGACATTTCAGAGTCACTGAACCTCATGGATAAGTAATTTAAATTACATTGTTATCTATAATGTTAAAATTTAATTTTATAATTAGGTATAAATTACGCAACAAAGAAATATATTAAAAGGTTTAAAAGCATCACGCCTTTGAAGACAAGTTTCAAATACACATATTTTAACGTCAGCCACAACGCTTAACAATAACTGCGTCAGAACAGATAATGCTGCAACTTATATTCCGTACAAATTTCTCACTACCCTTAAAAGGAAACCCGAATACCCTTTTAGACGTGTCATTAATCATGAACTCCTTACGACCTCCGCCTTGTAAGATGATTAATTAATCATTAATGGACCGACCAGCAGATTTTTTTAGTCTAGGAATGTACATACAAGCATACTCGTATACTCGTCGTAGCTATTAATAATCGTCTATATGAAAAAAATGTCATTCACCTTACTTTACTTAAATTACCATATTTTAAAAATGTGATACCTACATGATACTTTGTAGACGATCTAAATGCACTGAGTAGTACGGATTCCAAACTTGTACTACAGTACTCCAATTAAATACGAATATAATTAGAGTTTTACATATGATTCATGGATACAAAAACCTTTACTACATCGTAAAATAAAG